CAAATAAAATACATATTGGAATGAATACATATAGGATTTTTGAAGAAAAAAATAACTATATAGGGAAAAAATATATGAAAATACAAATATATTTCTTAAATGACTATATAGATAAATTCGGCATACCTATTGAAATGAATATAAACTAATAAAAAACTATAATAAATATAAATAGAATATATTGTGGAACGAATATAATTTTAAAAAGGTAAAATTGTGGAGAGAAAAAAAAATTTAAATTTAATTTGAAAATGTAACTGATGAAAAAATTAAGGATGCTTGCCTTTTTTTGAAATATTCTCCCCTTAATTTTCTCCTTTTTGTTATTAAATAATTATATTCTTTAAATAAAAATAAATAATAAAAATATACATAACAAACTAAAATGACATTTTTACTAAATATTGAAATTGTTGCTAATGAGTCCTCTTAAATGCTAAAAATATTGACATTTTAAAAAAATTTCCATTATTTTAAGGACAAAGGACAGAGATTTTAAGGTAAAAAAATTACTATTTGTCCTTTATAAGTTCATATTTCAAAAATCTCTCAAACTAATACAATAATATAAGTGTTGATATATTAATATGATACGCGAGATTCATTAATGATTCAGTTAGATACATTACATTTTATATATAATACACTAATCTAATCTGATGTACATTTTATACATGATACACTAATCTGATACGCGAGATACATTAATCTGATGCGTAAGATACATTAATTTGATGTAATGATATATTAATCTGATACGTGAAAATGAGAGGTTTTAGAAATTTGTAAAGCTAATAGGGGATAATAGTAACAAGAGAATCTAAAGGTAAAATTTCTATCATTTTTCCTTATTTTTTTTATATGTATAACTACTTGTCTACTTCGGATATATGGCGTCCGAATTTAAATTTGAGAAAACTAAATATCAATCATATATGACTGAATTTGAAGTAAGAATGACTAAAATAATTTTAAAATGATTGAATTTCGTCCATACGAAACTCATATATTGAATTCAAAATTAAATATATCAAGACTAACTTTATAAATATTATATACCTAAAGTTATTCAATTCAAAGGGAATACATCTCACATGTGTAACAAACTTTAAAAAGGTGTAGAAAGACGATATCAAAATTTAGTATTAGTGCACTTCACCCAATTCTTTGATATATTTCTAAACGAATTGAAGATGAACTTTTCTCTAATATTTTATCAATAATTAATTAATAATATACGTATAAAAAAATTTACTAAATATTTAACTATCAACTAATACATTAATTTAAAATTGCTGCAAAAATTCATAATGCCCCTCGATATGTGATAGTAAACATCCTATTACAGGGTATATCGGGTATTTAAAATACATTGTTTCTTGTTAAAAATAAGAAAATGTGTCTGAAAAATATTTTAATTTTAATCAAAGTTGTTGTTACTATTTATAATAATGCAATATTTATGATGTCCACGTGAATACATATATATTTTTAAAATACACTATTAAACAATGTAGGGATATAAAAAGTCATTTTCAAAGTTTCATATTATTACAACAATTTGAATCAAATCACAGATATATATTAAATAATTATAATTAGGTTATTGATAATTTGATATTTTCTATTACATTTTAAAATATACTTTTCTTCAAGCATACATTTTGTTTTTCTTAATACTAAAAATCAATCTAAAGTTAAATCCCATGGTCTTAAATTCACCAAAGAGACCACATCCCATATGCTATAGTGGATTCACACGAGTATAACATAAATTGTTCAAAATCCAAAGTTTATAGTCCCATAATAAAAAAGAAACACTTGTTTTATTAAAAAATTATAACAAAAAAGGAATCATAACTTTGAAAAAGAAATGTTATATTTGATATTTTTATTTTATAAAATAAAAATCTTAATAATAAATTGCCTTAAAAATAGTGCATACAACTTACACCACTAAAATTCTTAATTTTATATAATAGTAATGTTTTCCTCTGCATTAAAATTGAATTAATAAGAAGAAAGAAAAAAAAAGAAATTACAATTCAAAACAAAAAAATGGCAAGGGATAACTATAAACAATTCAAATCCCACGAGTAGAAAGGAAAATGTAAAAATTTAAAAATCAATACAAACTATATAAACAACACAAAACATTAGCAAAGAAACAAAATATAGCAATATTTCAAAAAAAAATAAAAAATTATCAATGAAACTTTCAGGTGAAAATAGTTCCAAATCAATAATCAGGAACAATTACAATTTCATTGTCAAATTTGATGTCGTTTCTGCTAACACAATTTGTAAAATTCAATTAACTTTCGACTGAACGAAAAATAAGAACAGTTCTAAGGTTCAAGTTCAGCTCGAAATCAATATCATTAACGTTGATTATGCGAAAGATTATTCAACTATACGAATTCATGGCGTACAATTACGTCAATCAAATATGTAAATTTTAGAACTTTCCATAATTTGGAGTTGAAAACGAAAAAAAACTGAGAAAATTTGGGACAAAGAAACAAATAATATTTTGAAGAAAGCGTTAGAATTAAAAAGTTAAGTATGATATATGGATAATTTTAATGAAGAATAGAACTGCTGAGATTTTATTGATCAATAATAATACAATATCTATTACTCATTGTGCAACTATACGAATCGAATAACTTCAAAAAATAACTCGAATTTTGAGAAATTTTTTGATAATTTATTTGTTTCGTTTAGAAAACAT